AACGCCAATGTTTCAATTGAATTTTTATGGTCTCCAGCACATAAAGGTGTGTCAGGTAATGAAACAGCTGACTACCTTGCCAGAACAATAAACAATAGCTTAATTGGACAACCCAGAAGAATGTCACTTCCATGGAGAGATTTAATCCCATTGATTCAAGAGGAAATTAGACAAAGCTGGATAAATCAACATCAAATTATAATACAAGAAAAAGGTGCATGGTATGCTGCAATCAATAAGAATCTTGGAGAGAAACCCTGGTTCGCTAAGAATAATACCTTTATAAAAGAAGATTCTTCACACAAATATGCAGGTTACGATTTGGTCATTGTAAATTTAAAGCCCATCTACACCGCATGAAAATTATTAACTCACCTTTATGTACAGATTGCTCTCTAAATGAAAATCAAACGCTGGAACATATATTTTTCAACTGTCCTGCTTTAAATATTAACCGAATTTTATTAATTGACAAGCTGCAAGATATTTACAAAGACAGTATCCCGCCTTCGCTTCAAGAACTTCTATCGAACCCTGCCACTTTTAATCCAATATTTGACTTTATTATCTCCACGGTTGGAGAGCTTTGACATGGATTTAACCGGACATGGAATTTTATGAACCTGAAAATTACACAAGAATATATAGAAGAAATGGCATTTTTGCCTTGTTTTTATTGGAAATAAGAAATGAACTATAGAAGAATTGGCATTTAATGCCTTATTTTTGAAAAGATAACAGAAAGAACTAATAAAAGACTAGGCTGTATGGCTAGTACCATTGCCTATCCTGATGGATGAATTTTTAAAACAACAACCAACCAAACGCAAATGTCAAAACAAAATTTGCAATTTTAGTTGCTCTCTTTTTTATTTCATTGATAAATCCAACTAATTCCTATATTCCTGCATTAAAGTGAAGCTATGATCGTGCGAGGTGAGTAAATAACATATTCTTGTTAGTGCATTGATTCGTAATAATGTCTTGTTATTTTGGGTCGTACTATTTTTGTCCGCTCTAGTTTTGGTGCATTGGAATAATTTTGACATCCAGGAAAAGACTGTTCTTCCTGGTTCATAAAGCTAGATAATGTTTTTCAGGGTTACGTACCGGTATTCAGGATACAAGGCATGTTTTCAAAGGCGTGGGAGGCATTGGTATTAGCATAGCATTTTTGTGGGCATACATGATAAACTTTTTGTCCTCTATTGTATTTACTTGTATGAAGCTCTCTGCTACAAATTGTGCTTCCTCTAGGAACCTGATTCATCATCTACCTGCTCTTATCCCAAATTAGTTAGGGTTGGTGCAAAATGTTTTGATAGAGCACAAAACATGTAGCAAAAGGATTTAATGCCTGGCCGCCTGCCTGATTTCAACCCTCTTTGTAAATGCTTTTGTAGGTGGTATCACCTAGTGGACAGGTTTTATACCAAAGTCAAAAACTCTGTCAACTTTTACGAAACACCCTGAGTGGGTGGCTAAGAACTCTGCAACTCTCTGGTATCATGATTATGTAGGTATTTTTGCACTCAGTTGAACATTTATAATGATCACCACTGTATTAATTGATTGAAAATATTTACCAAGACATTCTGATACAAATGAAAGTTTTAATTGTTTCCTGTTTGGTGAATCATTTTCTGGTTAAAAATGTTATTTTCATTCTTTTATTGGCTAGACATTGTTGAGATGTTTTAAAGTGAATGTAATTTTATTACAGCTTTTTATTTTAATATTACCAAAGTGTTTTTTTTACTTGTTTTATTGTTATGGTCACTAGCATTTACAAATGATGTGACTCATAAATTGTTAATTGCCTGATAATGTAATGGTGTATCAAGCAGTAATCTTATCAATATTTAATGTAGCTAATGCTCTTGATATGGTACATTAACAGAAATGGAATGGTATAGACTGGTTTTCATTTTATTTATCAGATTGTACACAAGTTAATGAACTAGCAAAAATATTCAATAACATTTAACCCTGTGTGGGGTATTACAGATCCCAAACAATAAACTTTTTGAATAAATTAAGACTACTTGTTTACATTATCTTGTATACTATACTCATATAACTGATTTATTTTCAATTTAATCACAAAGATCATTGTGATTAAAACATGATCAATGTTAAAAGACATTTGTATTTTGTATTTGTATTTATTAAGAAAAAGTATTTCATTTACACTGTAGATCATATAAATGTAGAAAAAAGCACTTGTATATTTGTTATTCGGTGTCTAAATATAGCAGCCCAAAAAGGCCAAGGCCTGCGCTAGGGCTAACTACTTCCTTAATAGTTATGTACAACATAAAATTTTAACAAAATTTAACCCCCACTTTTAAAATTTTCACATGGTATGCAGTGAGTTAGTTAAAATTATAAAATTAACAATTGATTTCTTCATACAGATACATTCCATAAATTATTGAATGTACCTACATGTGACTAGCACATTATTCACTGACATGACTACATACATAATAGTACTTAGCTACTTATAGTAACTTTATATTAACAATACATGAATCAGAATTGTTGTTTTACGCTTCAGTAGTTGATAGGCCCCAGCTGGTACTGACAATACCTATTGAAAATTAGTTTAGCTTTCACAATTTGGTATAATTTTGAGTCACAAGTTTTTTTAAATAAATATATTTATTTATTGTACAGAAAAACAAATAAATACAATATAAACAGAATGAAAGCTACATAAAAAAAATGTAAAATAAATAGTATCATATTTATTTTTATTTATTATGTAATTACATAAGTATGGTGATATGATAAGATTAGGCTGTCCAAACCTGGTGATGTTTTAGGGTATAGATAGACCTATAAATTAGAATAAATGCAGTTGTTCAGAAAATAAATGCATGGTTCATATAACAGTTATTAAGAATAATCAATGTACTGATTAAATGGCAGATTTATGTAGGTATGTTGCCTTTATTTTGAATGAAATGAAATGTGAGTTGAACATGTGTGTTGTAATAGCTGATTTGTTGTGCACATGCCCATATTGAGAGTTAGTTTGCTAACAATGACTCATGTTGTCATGGTTACCAGTAGAGTGAGAAGCTCTGGCTTGTTTTTGCTTTGCTGATATTTGATTAAAATTTTTATTTTAATTAACTTTGTTAATCTAAAGTGAGTATCAGCTAGTGGTATTTTTTATTATAGTAATCAGGTATCCTTGTACGTTTATTTTATATTATTGATCTGATTACAGTAGTTTATTTTTTTCTTTTTTGTGTTTACTTCTTTGTGGTTAACATTTCTTTAAAGTAATAAGCAATTTTAACAAGGCCAAAACTCGCCATACAAACGTGAAGGACCAACCGCCGTACAAATGGATTTTTTTGCATAAAACCTTGAAAAATAATCACTTTGATATTTTGCAGCAATTTCTCCTCAGTAAACCACAAGCAGTCTGCCAAACATTGGCTTTCTTTATAGTTATTTTATAGCTTTCAAAGACAGAGTTTTAAAATAGTGGAGATTAATATTAAAATATCAAAAATAGAGGTTTAAAAATCAAATATATATTGTGTCTTTATGTTTTTATTGCAGGAAAGATTATTTCACTCAAAGTCTTGAGATTCTGTAATCTGTATCATGGGAGTACTTTGTAGTACAGTGTAAATATCACATGATATTGTTTTGTATATAACACTAGCTGCCCGTCAGCGGTTTCACCCGCTGCAACCTATTATTCCGCGGGAAAAAAGCATTATTCGCCGAGAGATGTCGCTGTTAGTTTTCGTCGAAAACGTTTAAAACGCGAATCGGCTCAGTCACGCCACCTATTTCAAAAATATTGGAAAATGCGTGATCCCGTGGGAATGAGACATTTTTCCGTGGTAAAAAGTATCCTATGTGTTATTCCAGATGCCCTTTTATATTTCTGCAAAGTTTCATGTCAATCTAATCAGCCGTTTTTGCGTGATGTCGTAACAAACACACACACAAACATCCGCCTTTATAATATTAGTAGGATACATGCATAACATAGAGATAAAATTTAAATGATAATAAAATTAATGATAATGTGAGATACTGAGTCACATCGTAATTTGTAATTATAGAAGGTGTTTGGAAAATAATGCATAACCGAGGGTTTACGAAAAGACGCGTATTTACTTGGGAACATCTAGGGAATATTTGTTTCGCAACAACTTCACGAAATGCTTTTCGTGGTCGCGAATCACTCGCGAAATTATTGCGAAAGAAAATCGCGTAACAAAAGTTTTTTGAAATATTTTTCTTCAATTTTCATAAAAATATCTTAAGGGTGTGAGTAAATATATCAACTGTGTGAGTGAGTGAATCAAAATTGTATTTATTATTTAAGGCGCTAAATCCACACGTGAGACTTGACACAGCGCGACGCTCGTATCTGTTTCCATATTGAATGAATGTATGAAACAGAAGAGACGCCGTCCACACCCGTGAGACGCGCTTTTTATTGCCGACGATCTGCGTCACATTTGTCGTCTTACGTCCTTACGTCTCACGTCTCATGATGATGTAGATTAGATAGCGCCTGAGTCAATTTTCCTAAAATGGCGGAATAAACGTGAAGAAGTTTTATTTGGCCGAGTATAACCCTGAAGATTTATGCGTTAACACCCTGTATATTATATATATTATATTACGTTTTACAAGCCATATCAATTACTGGGTTCAATGGTCTTTTGAAAGTCAAACATATTAACATTTGAATTATGTTCAGATTTATTTAGTCATCAGTCACTGAAAGTTTGAAATCTCTTATACCTAAGTAAAGAGCATGGGTGTACCGCCCTTTTTAATTATTTCAGAAATAGGTTAAGGGTCACTAGGAGATAAACATCCTAAAAGTACTTAGACAAAAAAGACGCAGTGTCCAATTGTGGGCTAAGTTTTTGTAGATTTGAACCTCTACTAGGTACCTAACTGTCAAGCTGAAAAACAATAATCAAGAGATTGAAATTTGGCACGGGTCGAACGTTGCGTCGATAGCTCATTGGGGCTGAGCATTGGGACGGTTGCCCACGTGTGTTGGGTTCGAACCCCGGTTGACGCTTGATTTTTTGAGAATTACTGCATTTATGAGAATAATGTAGCGCTCAGTGCTATATTATAAATTGAAAAAAAAAAAGAAAACGATGTTTGTGTTTAAATAATATTTTTTTTCCAGGCCGTCCCGCGCGGCTAGTGATTCTACTGGACCGATGGTGATGTGTGCAGCGGCGCGGGCCGGCATGGGCGACGCCTTGCGTGAACGCCTCCCCGCGCTATGGAGGCGGATTGAAGACGCGCATTATTCATATTTAGAAACGGATGACAGCCCGGAGAAGCTGCAGCAACGGAATAAGCTTGAAGGTACGTCGTAGTGGTCATAGATGGCGCTATTAGTATTTAAAACGCGATATATTTTTCTCCTTGGGTGAAGCTTTGCGTGAACGCTTTTTCACGCTATGGAGACGGATCGAAGACGCGCATTATTCCTATTTAGAAACGGATGACAGCCCGTAGAAGCTGCAGCAACGGAAAAAGCTTGAAGGTACGTTGCGGCGGTTATAGATGGCGCTGTTAGTATTTAAAACACGATATCACTACACCATGGGCGACGCATTGCTGTGTGATGCCGGCTTAGAATAGCATCACCCCATTTCTTTCCTGTGGGTGTCGTAAGAAGCGACTAAAGGACTCGAGGGTTTGATGTGTATTGCAATTTTAGGCGACAGGCTGACAACCTGTCACTATAGTGATACACGACAATAGCTAAGACGGCCCTCAAATATTTGTCAGACGTGGCAACAACGACCGTATTTTACGGCTATTGACGCTCTGCCTACCCCGCAAGGGATAAAGGCGTGATTTATGTATGTATGTATGTATGTATGGGCGACGTGCTACGTAAGCTTCTTTACACGCTATTAGACTCTATTCAAACCTAAACGGTATCCACGCGGTTCTTGAGTAAGCGGTTTTCTGATTGGTACAGATGAGTATGCGATAGAGTTTCTCGTACCCTCCCACGTAGGTAGATACCGCTGCAGTTTTGAATAGGGATTTATTCGTGTTTAGAAATGGATGACAGGAGATGAAGCTGCAGCAACAGAATACGCTTGAAGGTACGTTACGATAGTCACAGATGGCGTTGTTCATTTTTGAAATGCGGTCTTGCGTTGACTTGTTGATGTGCAACGTTCTGCGTAAACGTTGGAAGCACATTGAAAAGGCGTAGCGATTATTCATATGTTTTAAAAACGAATGATTGTCCAGAAAAACTACAACGAAAGAATAAGCTTGAAGGTACGTTGCAGTTTATTTATACAAAACACGCAATCGACAGTGGAAGTTATAATTGGCGTGATACGATGCGGAAGAGTATCCGCATGATGTACAAGCGTGTAAAAGACGTACACACGCCATGAGCCAGCTAAATTCAAGTCTCGAGCAATAAGGCCACATAAACTCTTGCTTTGTCATTATCACCTGCCATACCTTATCCCAAATTGGTTGGGGTCGGCGCAACATGATTTGTTAGAACACAAAATCACGTAGCAAAAATATTTGGCCATGTTATATGAACGGCCGGTTTTCCTAACGTCAACCCTCTTTGGGAATGCTATTGTAGGTGGCATAGTCGACGGACATTCAGAGGTCAAAAACTCTACGTCGCTTTTTATGAAACACTCTGAGTGGACTGGGGTTGGCAGTATTCTTAGTCGCTGCCTTAGTGTAATAAATAATGTTTTTTACTTACTTTTGCCTGATAGATGAGTATGTCAAACTTACCCTATCTCTTTATTTCCAGGATATATAACAGAGTACCTGTCACTAGTGCCTCACGAGTGCAAGTTCGGCCTGTCTGAAACGGGCAAGGTTTTCCAACGGACTATCAATGAACTGCCGGAATTCAGTGCCTATAGGGCCGGGCTGGGCTGGGCCGCGCTGGCTAGGTATGCGGCCAACCTGTTGGCTCAACCTTGGCGGAAGGAGTATAGAGATATTCGGGTATGTATAATTTATTTTTGTTTGTATCATGATCGTAGTCTAGGTCTTGTGACAAGTCTAAATGAACGATGTTGCGAGCTACGTCCACGATCAAAGCGTCAAAACCACTGCCATTCGCTGTCGATGAACCACCAGAATTCAGTGCCTATAGGGCCGGGCTGGGCTGGGCCGCGCTGGCTAGGTATGCGGCCAACCTGCTGGCTCAACCTTGGAGGAAGGAGTATAGAGATATTCGGGTATGTATAGTTTATTTTTGTTGGTATCATGATCGTAGTCTAGGTCTTGTGACAAGTCTAAATGAACGATGTTGCGAGCTACGTCCACGATCAAAGCGTCAACAACACTGGCAGTCGTTGTCAATAAACTGTCAGAATTCAGTGCCTATAGGGCTGGGCTGGGCTGGGCCGCGCTGGCTAGGTATGCGGCCAACCTGCTAGCCCAACCTTGGAGGAAGGAGTATAGAGATATTCGGGTATGTATAGTTTATTTATGTTTGTATCATGATTGTAGTCTAGGTCCGTGACAAAGTTGACTCAACGATTTTGCGAGCTACGTCGAGATATTCGGGTATGTATAGTTTATTTTTGTTTGTATCATGATTGTAGTCTAGGTCCGTGACAAAGTTGACTCAACGATTTTGCGAGCTACGTCCACGATCAAAGCGTCAACAACACTGGCAGTCGTTGTCAATAAACTGTCAGAATTCAGTGCCTATAGGGCCGGGCTGGGCTGGGCCGCGCTGGCTAGGTATGCGGCCAACCTACTGGCTCAACCTTGGAGGAAGGAGTATAGAGATTTTCGGGTATGCATAGCGTACTTATTTGTTCTTGAGATTACCATGATACTAGTGCTCAGCTCAGTGAACGATATCGCGAGCTACGTCTGCAGTGCAACCAAACTATGAAAACCACTGTCATTAGTTGTCAATAAACTGCCAGAATACAGTGCCTATAGGGCCGGGCTGGGCTGGGCCGCGCTGGCTAGGTATGCGGCCAACCTGCTGGCTCAACCTTGGAGGAAGGAGTATAGAGATATTCGGGTATGTATAGTGTATTTTCGCTTGAGATTACCATGATACCTACTACTGGTCAAGATCCGTGACAAGGCTCAGTGAACGATGTTGCGAACTACGTCTAAGCGTCAAAAACACACCGAGTCGTCCAACGACCGGATAAACCCTGGCGTCATAGTTTTTCAACCGCCTACTACTAACAGCTAGCCTCGTATATGGTTTGTTATTGCAACAGACAAAGTTGCGAAATATGTAGTTATTTGTAATTTATGCGATGCAAAGTATGGGCCGGTAGTTGGCAGCGGCTAGTATGGATTCAGGTCAATTTACTATGCGGCTATTTGTAGCTTTCGCTAATGACTGACCAAAAATATGACTGAATGATTCCAACAGCAGTTATATTCATTTGTTTATTCATACAACGTGTTACAAAACAACCACTAAAGCTCCCATACAAATTAAGTTCATTTTGTATGGAATGCCCAATTTTTTTTTCATGTTTTGACCCATGTTTCCCATGTTTCATGGGGAAAGTTGTTTAGTTTTATTAGTACTTTGACCTCCTTTCGGCTTTATTGGTTGTTTTGTAACACCCAGTATTGTACAGGGTGTAAGGGACAGCTCTCTGAATACTGATAGGATGCATCCAGACCATGAAACTGAACAACTTAATTACAAATATTTTAAAAGACGTAAAAAAATTACTTTTCGTGGTAAATGTAGTCAGTTGATCGCGATTTTGTATGGGGAGTTGTTCAGTTTCATGGTCTGAATGCACCCTAACAGTATCAGAATTCGACGAGCTGTCCTTTACACCCTGTATAGTATAGTCGCTATTCTTTTTAAAATAATAATAATGCCAGATAATAATAATGATGAATTCCTATACGTAGCTTATGCATAGGTTTCATAATTATTTTGTGTAAGTGTACGTATTTGTAATTCAGTTTATTGAACCTTATCTTAATATTCATTACGCTGCGTTCCATTGTTCTATATCTATAGCAAATCTTGAGCTTGCACTTATTTATAGCTGTAATGATACATGTAATCCATTTTTACCCGACTGCCTCAGAAGGAGGGTTATGTTTTTCGAGAGTATGTATGTATGTGAGTATGTATGTATGTGGACAAGAAAACTCTTTTTCACGGACTACAGCCCAAACGGATCGTTGGATTTTGACATATGAGGTGTCGTTAGATTCGTCTCAGCAGCGCGAGTGACGCTGGCTATATTAAAAACTCATTATGGCGAATTTTTATCCCAAAATACAACTTTAAAATTCCTGCAGTCGGGTTTTTGTTTTGTAATACATATACTTGTTCCTTTCCAGTTATACTGCGGCTACTACAAACACGAGATCGAAGCGAATATGGTTGGCGCGGAGACGCTACTACACACTATGGGGTACAAGTGTGTGGGCCAGGGGAAACTATCCCTTGTAGCGCCAGTGTGCCCCGACATGGTGGCCGCAGTCAGTCGAGACGCCATCATAGCTCATGCCGAGTGCCAGGTGAGATGCTACTACACACTATGGGGTACAAGTGTGTGGGCCAGGGGAAACTATCCTTGTAGCGCCAGTGTGCCCCGACATGGTGGCCGCAGTCAGTCGAGACGCCATCATAGCTCATGCCGAGTGCCAGGTGAGATGCTACTACACACTATGGGGTACAAGTGTGTGGGCCAGGGGAAACTATCCCTTGTAGCGCCAGTGTGCCCCGACATGGTGGCCGCAGTCAGTCGAGACGCCATCATAGCTCATGCCGAGTGCCAGGTGAGATGCTACTACACACTATGGGGTACAAGTGTTTGGGCCAGGGGAAACTATCCCTTGTAGCGCCAGTGTGCCCCGACATGGTGGCCGCAGTCAGTCGAGACGCCATCATAGCTCATGCCGAGTGCCAGGTGAGATGCCTATGTACATGTATCACACCTATATCCCTTGCGGGGTAGGCAGAGCGTAAAGGGCTGTAAAAAGCCGATTATACCACGTCTGACAAAAGTTTGAGAGTTATTCAGAAAACTGTGTATCACCATAGGGAAAGCT